AAAACAAATGTTATCGATTCTGATTGTTTTTCAGTCGATTGTCGACTGCGAATGCTGAGAAAAACAAAATGAATAAATAGAAAAAACAAGGAAGCGAAGAAGAGAAGAAAACACAAAATACACAAAACAAATCAAATTTTCTTTCATCGAGGGTCGAAAAAGTTTTTTTTGGATTGGTATTTTTCTTATTCCCCACATAAAAATAAAAACAATCAATCGCCGAGCGGTAGGACAAAATCGAAACGTCCAAGATTAAGGAATACCGTAATCCAGCACAATCTATTGACGAGGCCGACCACGGCATGGCAGCAGCAAATGACTCAGGTGTTGACACAAGTAATGATAGCAATGATGGAGTTACAGCCAGTGCGAGTATTATGATAACACCGCCACCGCCAATAATGCCGCCCACACCAACATCGTCACCGAATACACATGAGTGGCCCACCATCAATCCCAATGCATTCCATTTGAATTCGGAAGAGCATTTTGCATTTCCTACCTTGCCGCCACTGCCGCTGAACTCATCGTCGTCGCAGTCTCCCGACTATATGTCCAGCATTATCCATCCCAGCACCCTGCCCTCCAGCAGTCACAATTTCAAAATGCGTCCCCGTACTTGTATCAAGAGCAAACTGCGCTTCAGCTATAATAATATTTTTGCCGAATCTGCTGGACGGAAACTGCGCTACGCCGCCTGTACCAATAACATAGAACTCCTGACAAAGGTACTGGAGGCTGGTGCACAGCCAAATGCGGCGGACGAATACAAACGCAGTCCGTTACATTTGGCCGCCTGCCGTGGTTACATACAAATAGTCCAACAATTATTGAAATTCGGGGCCAACCCCAATGTGGTAGATTCTCTGGGCAACACTCCACTCCATTTGGCTGTTATATCTGCAAGTTCAAATAATTTTAATGTGGTGGTACGTGTTCTACTGCAGGGTGGCGCCAGTGTTCATATGTATGATCGTAGTGGCAAAACGCCATTAGAATTGGCCGAGGCCAAATTACGGTTACTTCGTACACGCTATGAGAATCCAACACCGGAAACCAGTAAAATTCTCGAAGATATGTGCATGTTGACGGCCCTCATCTTAAGATATATGGCGAAGCAACAACGCGAATTAGAAGATCTCTCAAATCTGGAGAAACGCCTGCAAGACCTGAGCACCCGCGATGATCAAGAACAGGTTGTTTCTCAGACGGCTGATGAATTATTGGCCAGTATCGAAAGTCTGTCAATAAACAAATAGAGAGTAAATGTTGAATTGAAAAATAAAGTAAATAGATATTTGCGGGTAGTAGAAAACCAATACATATAGAGCATTAATGGATGTAATGGAAGATGGACGGATGAAAAGATGCTGATAGATAATTGATACTCGCAAATTGTCATAATTGTAAGTATTTTAGGTTTTATACATAAATATATTCTATTATATAATTTTGAATGTAGGGAATAGTCCTTAAAATGGATGCATACTATTTAAACAGTATATAGTTAATGTGGATATAGTCGTGATGTTAAGCCTTTCATTAGATGTGAAGTGAGATTGTTGCCACATTTAAGAGCTTTAATAGTTGTCGTTGTAACTAATTGACTGTAGTCGAAGGTTCTTTTCTGAAAATGTCGATAGAAAACCAAGGAATGAAGATGGAAAATCTTTTAACCAATGAATAAACAGAATTGGGAATGGCCCGATAAAATGTACTCATCCATTGGCTTAGGCCATAACAATGTGCTCCTGATATTAATTAAGAACCTTACTATATCCGAACAAGTATGATATCCCTTGGCCTATCGAAGGCCTTCGGTACCGTCAAACCATGCCAAGCTGTTCGAAGATATAGAGAAGACAAATATCCGACCATGTTTGAAACGTTGGATCATCAACTATATGTGTGGACGCCAGTCGTATGTGAAATTCAGAAACAGGAAGTCTAAACCCCGTAGTGAAACAGGGAGTTCCCCAAGGAGGAGTCATATCTCCGGAACAGTTTAACCTCTACGTTTCTGATATTCCACAAAATAGAGATCGTAATGTATGCGGATGATTGTACGATTATTGATGACATATGTGAATAGTTAAACTTCTAAATAGCTGATCTCGTAAATTTCTTCCATCTGGCACAAAATCAAAAGCCACACTGTTCACCACATGGTTGAAATGAAGCTCCCACTGAACGTGATTGTCGATGAAGAAGTGATTCCGACCACAAACTACCCCACGATAACGGGGGTAACGTTCCACTGCCTTTTCAAGTCGTCTTCGCAAGCCACTGCTTTTTGCGATTGGCTGAGAAGTAAGAACAAGGTCCTCAAGTCACTAGCCGGTAGCACTTAGGGCGCTGACAAAGAAACCTCTTATAAAGCATTTGCCGATCAGCGGTAAGCTATGCGGCGCCAGTGTGGTTTGCGAATGTAAGTGATACGCAGTGGAAAAATATCCAGACCTGCCAGAATGCTGCTCTGAGAACTACGACTGTGTCAATGGACGAAGATCTTACCCGTCCATCGACACAATTATATGTTGTCATAGTCCCAGGCACGTCAGGAAAAGCCTTCATGATCTAGAGTGAGAGGTCCAAGGATGTAAACGTGAATCTCTAGATCAAGAAGCCTATCAAGCAGGTCTGAATAGTATTCACACGAACGCAGTCGCTCAGGCACTAGAGCAATATCGTGTGAATAGCATAATCGGAGACTGACATCATCCTGGTCTCACTTTGGAGATGATCGACGTTCGTTACCTGGACATCGTTCCTGTTTACATCCAGTCTTGAGCTGCATTATCTAGTACATTGTTCGTAGCTTGCACTTTCTGCTTTATGTAATTGGAGTGGGAGAGAAATACAGGAGGTTATCGAATATCACATCAAGGATAACCACAATATAATCATATAAGAATCATTTACGGATGATTTCTCGTATTAATGCTTTAATGATGATCTCAAACAATACACAAAATATGAGAAACGCAACGAAACGCTTTTGTATCGATAATTCTACGTTAGAATGTAGTAGGAAGCCTGACTGCAAACTGTAACAACTCGATTACTTATCAATCGAACCCAGGATAATTGTATGGGAACTCTATTTTTTTATTATCAAACATAAAAAAATGGCTCAATGAAAAGAGACTCCTTTCAAATTAGAAACAAATGACTACCATTATTAAATTGTTATTATAGTTTTTAAATTGCTAGTATAAATTTCTCGATATCATCCATGAATATAAATTAACAAAGCATAATTTTTTTTGTTTTCATTTCAGATTGTTTTTGTTTCCTATTTTGGCTGCCGTAAAATATATCGTCTGGATAAATAGTGATAGTAACGTCGATACTTGGACAACAAAAAAATGTTAGAGTTTATATGCAGCAATCTTGACCACTACACTCTATTTGTTTTTGTTTATTTCCCCATTTACACAGACGATGTAATTTGATGAATTCTTAAGTTTATATTTAATATACATACAAACATATATATATATATATATATATTTCTTTGTTAGTTTTTAAGTGACCACTGTTCTATAACAGAAACAATCAAATCAATCCTACAACATGAAAAACAAATATGCATTGAGTTTATTCCTCTATATGATTGTTATGTAATAGACAGCCAATAGTTGGTATGTAAATTATATATATAAAAATACTTGTTTATGTTTCATTTTAACCAAATTATTCCCAAAAAGGAAGATCAACTACTCTTAAACAAAAAATACAAATAAAAATCAAATGTTAATAATTGGTAATTTACAAAAGAGAAAATCGAAGCGCTATGAATTAATTGAACTATTATTGATTGACGATCATTCAGACAAATGTTTTCGAATTTCTATTATTTGAAATTAAATGTAATTGAAAAAAAAAAACAAACATCATCATGTATGTATAACGTTTTATTCTTATGTTCAATTCAGTAGTTCATAAATACTAATGCTTATGTATTTATGTAATATTTGAAAACCAACAAAATAAACAAAAAAGAAACTGCATCTTGTATTCGTAATTAAACACACATTCATATTTGTAGTTATAGCCAGCATACATTCAAAATATGAGTATTTTTTAAAATATATCTACATTGTAGATACAAACATTTCGATAACCATATCGGTTTTAACACAAGATAATTTGATGAATGATGTATGTATATGTATGTATTTTATATGAGTTTCCATGATATCCAAAGCCTCCCGATAACATAACAATGTTTATTAGAACATTTCTCATGAAACAGAGAAATTTATATATCAATATATATATTGAAAACAATCTTTAAATATGTATGTGTGTCTATGATTATAAAGCAATTTACTTAAATGAACAAATAGATATTTCTATAAAATGTAATAAAACGTGAAATCCAATTCAATCTATGAGTGTGAAAATAAAGGCATTTGCCATTATTATAAACATAAACGAACATGTGTTTTAATGAGATGTGTGTGGTATTAGTCATGGATTATTAACAGTTTTTATTACACTAACTCATGAAAACAAATTGGTAAACTTTTATAGGAAAAAAACAATCACCCCTATTCCGTATGTCGTCGTCGTTGTCGACGACGTTTTTCTTTCGACATCACTTCGCATCGACATCGACATCACTTCGACACTGATTTGGTATTCTGTAACACTCATGCGACGATGTCGACTATTTATCGATAATATCAATAAAAACAAAAATTTTGTTGCATATTTTTGGGCAAAAATGTGTTTGTATCCTTCACCGCACTGTGGCACAGGGCATTATGTCTTGGTAAATGTGTTTGCAACGACCAAAAAGAAACGAGATAGACCCATAGTTACTTTTTAGTATATAGTATGTACATAGAATTATTTTTCAGTCGATTTAAGCATGTCCCTCCATTCATGTATTATTTTAAACAAGTTACATGCCACCATTATGATCCGAACGGGATGAAATTTGGAAAAAATCCATCCAATTGGGATGAAATTTTATTTCCACATAGACGAGTCCTATTGACATTGGTCAAAATCGGTTTAGATTTATATATAGATCCCATATATTTTTCTTTATTTACACGTTATTTTGTATTAAGTATTGAATAGATTCTAGAATGATGTATGCTGTTCTTGTCCGGTCATGTTGTTTTTTTTAATTTAAAAAAAAAATGTTCAAACGCTTCAGTCGTCAACAAAAACTATGACGAAGAAATCTTCGACATCGTCGTCGTCACACATTGTTACGGAATACCAAAAATCTTTCAATAGTTATCGATAAATGTCGACAACGACATAGGGAATACCAATTTGCAAAAGACGACTCTCTTCGACGTCGATTCGTGTCGACGACGACATACAGAATAGGGGTGAATATCAAAAACTGAAAACCTTATCGTATACCAAGTCCAACGGTTGTAAACGAAATTGACCTTATTTTTATGATTGTCATCGTATAAAGCAAAGAATAAATCTAGTGTATTTAAAACGGATGGTCTATTCATATGAAAGCTTTTCTAATACATGGTCATCAATTCTTAACTCTTAGTCGGAAAATGTGGTCACGGACCTTATATTGGGACCACTTTATATGGAACCAGGCTAATTAATCACGAGCACAAGATACTACTTCGTACACGCTATGAAAATCAAACATAGAAACCCTGTGGTGAATTAGAATATCTTTTAAATCTGCATAAATATCCACATGACCCACATGCCAGCAATGATTATGAAAAGGTTTTTTCTCAGAAGTCTGATGGATAATTGGCTGATATCAAAAGTCTGTAAATAAACAAATAGAGAGTAAATATTTAAGAAATAAAAATATGTATATATTTCCGGTATATATGAGTGTGAGAACTGGTGCAACATTCGTGGGCAAAGTAAAAGACTCGGGATATGTGGGATAAGATACATTCAGTGTCTGACTCATCTAATTTATCAGCAGGTTCATCTATGACACATTTCATGACCATAAAGTTTCATTTTAATTTCCGTTATATGATTAAATGTACATTCGAAATTTTGCAAAAAGTTCGGGACACTAGCAGGTCCGATATACAGTTTCGCCCGATTTTAGGTTAATGGTGCACCAAAGTGCCTGAAAATCATTCGATTTGCACGAATTTTGGCATAGCGAATAAGTCTAGTATGATGTGTGCAAAGTTTCGAGAAAATCGGTTTAGATTTAGATATAGCTCCCATATATATTTTCGTTCAATTTAATGTAAATGGTGTACCAAAGTCCCTATATATTTTTCGATTTGTACGAAATTTGGTA